TGCTGTCTGCCTACTCGGCTATTCTGCGTGGAGCGTCCAAGGTCTACGTCGTCGACCATGTGAAAGAACGCCTTGCTCTCGCCGCTTCCATCGGCGCCATCCCGATCAACTTTGCTGACGAAGACCCTGTCGCCCAGATTCTGGCTCGCGAACCGGACGGGGTCATGCGCACTGTAGACTGTGTCGGCATGGAGGCGTTGAACTCGAGCCTTCAGATGGACGAGAGCACTATCACACAACAGATGATTGACGTGGCGCATTTCAAAGGAGGCATGGGCCAATTGGGCGTGTATAGTTCACAGGACGATTCGCCTGGCGCACCGTACGGCAGCGACATCTCGCCAACGATTCCCTTCCCCGTCTCGTCCTTCTTCGCCAAGGGCTTGTGTTTCCGAACAGGAGCCGTTGATCCCAAGCCGTACGCTCCGCAGCTGATTGACCTTATCAACAGCGGCAAAGCCCACCCAAGCTTTGTGATCAGCGCAGTTATTGGCATCGAGGACGCACCAGAGTATTACAAACGCTTCAATGCAAAGAAGGAAACCAAGGTAGCCATCCGCTTTCCGGAGTAGGACGGCTTAATTGCGCGAGGCTTTCGGTCTGTATATAGAGGAAACTGCGGCAATCTAAGTAATACATACGAATTCCTCCCCATATCCCGGCCCGGAGTTTTGGAATCATGTCTCAACACAATAAAAGCATACATGTTGCAACGATCTGCAGGGCATTCTCCTGACGATCCGGAGGTTCGCTCAAAGCCCGCTTAGACGTTTATATGTATGTCTTCAAGCCTTTTTGTTTGGGCCGGGCAGACTCCGCGAACTGGAAGGCGAGCTCGACGGTGTCATGTCAAGGTGCTTTGCACCTGACCTAGCCGACGAGATGGTACAGCAGACAAGCGCCTTTGGCATCCGTACAGATGTATCCGATAGTTAGATTGGGTAGTTGCGACATTGTACGCAGAATGTGTTGAGACCTTCCGCTGAAGCCAAAGAGTAAGCAGATATGATTTGCTCAATGGGGGAGGAAGCAGAGAATGGATATTGTAGGATGGAATCGCGTGACGGAGCGAGGGAGCAATGGCGGATATTTTGGCAGTGAATTTTCCTGCTAAGCCTAATACGAACAGTCTGCCTCACGGCTTAACCAGCCGAATGCGCCTCAGGGGCTGTGAGAGTTAGCTGACGAGTCTACTTCCATAAGCTTGCAAAGGTGAAGTGACTGAGTATGAGTATCATGAGCCGCCGGATAACAAGGCGCTGTGTGCTGGCGTTTGTGAGGGCGTGCAGGGTCTCTACGCTGAACTTGCTCTGCCTTGACCAGGGGACTGAATCCACTGCTAAATGGACTGGGGTCCTGGCTTGTATTTCTCAAGTTCAGAGAGCGCTCTGAGAGCCAGGCTTCGCAGCGGCCGCATGTACAGGCCATGTCCGGAGACTATATGCATAGGTGTCGGCAGCCTGCAGTCTTTTGCACACTCTTGTCTGCATTATCTATGGCCAAGTTCACCGTGCCTAATGTACGCAGACGAGTTCTCCTGCGTAATCACAAGGTTCTGTTCCAAACCAATCCACGACTCGACTTCGGCACCGCTGCTGTAGTGGCTCTGGAACGAGCTACTCGACGTCCTGCCGCCGATAGGCGGGACGCGGAACTGCAGACTCGACTTCAAACCCGCCTTGAGGACTGACATAGCCCTGCCCTATGCGATCACCATCGACATTTCAAGCAAAAACAACAAAGACAACATCGAGCTTACTGCGTCGTATGGC